ATTTCAGGAAGAGCAGGCCTTGAGAGGCATGATGAGTGTGGAAAATGGCAGGTTTAAGTTGATGTTTGGTATTTAGTAGGTGATATCATACAGGTCTAGAAATCCAGGATTTAGAGGAGAAGTTCAGGTGGAGAAAGACTTTTGTAAATCAAGGGATGGAGAAAAACATCCAAAGTGTATGCCCAGATCTTCTAAAATGCCAAGCTAGTAGGAAAGGAAAAGGAGTAACAATTGATATAGTAAGAACAATATCAGGAGAGCAAAGTGCTTGAAAAAGTAATTGAAAAAGTATAAGTGACTAATAAATAATATACTATTGAGGAGTAAAAGATGATGGAAACTGAGAAGTGCTATTGGGTTCAACAATGTAAAAACTGTGGGAGATTCAACAGAAATAGTTGGGAATGAAAAAATTTTCATTGTAATATCTTCAAGTAAGAATAAGAGAAATACAAATAAGTATTTTGAGGCAATTTATTACTAAATAAAGGAAGATTGTGATAGCTTTAGAAAACTGAAAGTAAAAGCGTGCATGTTTTAAGACAGAATATCAAAAATAAGTTGTATGGTAATGGTACCATATCAAAAACATGCAAATCCATTTTTGATCAATTTTGACTTTTATATTTGATATTAATCGTCCACTAGACTTTCTCATCAGTATCTCAATTATACTCTTTTTGAAAATGGAAACTCTGTTCAATTTCTCAACCCCTAGTACCAAACCACTAGTAAAATTCACTATTCCAAATTTTATTCCATTGGAGTGTGGTGGAGTCAATAAATATGCAAATGCTTTCTAAAATTGGGCAAACAAGCAATTTTTTTCTCTAAATACAAACTCCATTTTCCTATATCTAAAAAATAAATAAAGTTAGCACAAGATAGAATGCAAGATTCAATTTTTTCCCCACTCTTATCAATATCTTACTGTTTTAGGATGTGGGAAAGGGTTTTTAATCATGATTACTACCAACTACAAATGTAGATCTGTGATTGTTTTTAAAAAGCAAATTGTTATTCTCTAACATGCCACAAAAAGTATCTGAGTTATTGGATAATCAATAACAATATGTAAATGGTCTTCTAGGGGCACATTAAAAACTAAAAACTGAAGATTAAAATAAATTAAAATCCAATAGGATTTCAGATATTTGGATGAAATTTGGCCAATGTGTATTTTGGTTGCCAGTTATTGTCAGAACCAATTCTCTATAACAAATCTATTGGGTGAATGTGCTTAAGGAACTGCCAAGTAGAGAGCTTCCTCAAGGTGCCCCCACAGCCCAACCACCCCCTTCCCAGGAAAAGTTGCCTTTGTTTTCTTTGTTAAAAAACATGAAGCATATTATATCATCTCAACACACATTCTGGACTGAAAGATGTTGTTTGTTCAGACTAATGAAAGAAAATCAATAATTATGGAGACAAAACATTTTGTCAGAGAATCAAGTAGAAATAATATTTCAAAATATCAAGCAAAAACAAAATGGTATAAATGCACAAAGGAAAATATGACTTGAATAAAAGATTCAGAATACTTAATATTAGCATTTTCAGAAGCAGAAAAAAAACTAAATAAAGGAGAGTTATCTGATAATAGAAGTCAATTTTCTGAACTAGAGAGTAAAGTGAACATGCAGATTGAGAGGGTTAGAATAAAATTACCATGAAAAGTTTGCCTGACTTTCTCGCTTCTAAATCTCCAGGGTGAGAAAAGTGCTTGGCGTATAGTAGGTGAAAGATGGATTTTTGTTATGTGACTTAATAAACCCCAAATTTGCTTCTGGCTGATTCTTACAAAATGCTTTTAAGGTCTAGTGATAAAATGATATATAATTCACTTAAGGATAAAAGGATCATGATGGCGAAAAACTTAACTGTAGTCAAGAAGGAAACACAGGTGTTTTATTCAATCTGTCCCAATATTTTACTCTAAACACAGGAATGAACTATCATTAATCATTCACACAGGTCACAAGCATGAGTCAGTCATGGTGATTTCCTAACAACTACTGATGGCTGAAAATGATGCAAAAAAATACATTTAGACTAAATATAAGAAAGCTTAAACAAATTTGAAAATACTGAACTATTTGGCTTATTCTTGTTTGGATTTTTTTTTCTTTTTTTGTACTAGGGATTGAACCCAGGGATGCTTGATCACTGAGCCACATCCACAGCCCTTTGTAAACTTTTGAAACAGGGTCTGTTTGATAAGTTGCTGAGGCTGGCTTTAAACTTGCAATCATCCTGTATCATTTTCCCAAGTCACCGGGATTTCAAGTATGTGCTAACACACCTGGGTATTTTAAGCAAATGCATGTCAATATTTAATCTATGAGCTTCTTAACCTCCATTTATTATTCCCACTTATTAAGTTATACGTAATGTGCTTTTTATATCAGCATTTGGCCATTGGATACTTTGGAGATGGGGAGGATACCCAAGAAGAAAGAAAGATCACTGTGATTTCATTTTTTGTCAATAATCTCACATGTCTTGTTGATGGACTAAGGCAGAATGGTGTCTGAAGTAGAAAATTGAATTTAATAATCTCTGGTTTAAAAAAACCCTGCTATTTCTAAAGTCATGCTTTTCTATTGATGACTATTCTTTCTTAGATTCTTAAAAAAAATGTATAGTACAGTTTCTTCCTAAAGCTACTAATATAATCATTTTGGATTGTAATAATATTTATAATAAGGTTAAATAAAAAACTACTGGTCATTTTAAAAAATCTTTCAAAATGTGAACTATATTTAGAAAGTAAACTCTTCAAGTGCACATTAAAAACTGTATACAGAGTCATCGCCTTCACCTTCTCTGATTGTTAGCCAATAGTTCCAAATAATTTTATATGTTTCTTGTTCTCCTTTAATATATAAGGAAGTAAAAACATAAAAGGGATACTTTTCAAAAGTCTCTTTAGGACCATAAAATTTCCATTATAGCTTTATGGGATAGAGTCACTCATGTCTTATTTTTAGCATTGTTCTAATATTAAATGTTTATTGACTTGTTTCCCCCTGGTGATTTTCTCTGTATCACCCATCATCTTGTATGATATTAATTCATTACAAATGATGAAATGCCCCATTGGAAGTATGACTGAGCAGTTCTATAAAACTCAGGAAGGCAAAAGTGGCATTTTTATTGGTATCATGTATCCATCTGGTGAAATGCTACCAAGTTGGCCTATAAAACTTCCCTGACAATTTATCAGATGCTTTGAACATAAACCTTACGTCTTTGATATTTGCTTTTAGTGAAAATACACCACACAGTATCACTAAACAGAACCAGAGAATAATTATACAAAGAAGTGAAGTTTTCCATGTTTCTGACTCCTTGGAATTATTTTTTACCATAGATAAATAAAAAGGCAAAAATTACATCTTTGGCAAAACGGAAGACTGTTCAACACTAACTACAGAAGCATGAACTCAGAGAAAGACACCACATGCACCTTTTGAAAAATGCTAAAGCAGCTTGTCCTGAAGACTACATATTTTTGGTAGAAAATGTTTATTTTGTTGAGAATCACATAGGTCTGTTAATAATCAAAATGTCCAGTGCTTTCCTCCAACTAAAAAGTTTATTTTTAACATTTCCATCAAATTTAATTTTCCAGTTAAATGATAAGGAGCTCCCTAGAAATCTCCATCTTTAGCACCTAATGCCCTTGCAATCTTGCCTCCTATGGAGCTTATTTCATGAAATCAAGTTGAATCTGCAAGCTATACAATTACACGAGGGGAAGCTCTTGTAATTGATATTTTATTTACCTTATTTATCTCCCTTTCATAGACAGAATCCTTGGTTTTTTGGTATGAGATTTTTTTTTTACTCAATCTAGTGTATTTATTCCAAAAAAAGAAGCCCTTACTCCTTCTGTACAAATATTTTTTAGGTAATTCAAATTATTGCTGGTCTTTTTTATGTATTTTAAGATTTCCACCTCAGTACCTAAGCAAACAACTGAACCCAGGGGGAATTTGAAATTAAGCATTTCTTATGTTTATTGTCCTTTTTCTTCCTTTTGAAAATTTTTAATGCAGATATATGTGAGAATTTCTGTGCTTCTCTGCCCTAGTACCACCAACCTTAATTGAATGCCCTCCTTCCTTCTTGGGCATCACAATAAATCACTGATTACTCCCTTTTATGTATTCTAGATCAAATTAGACTTCACTCTGTCTAGCCTAATCTGATAAACAAACATTTGCATTTGGCATAATGTGAAATAACTAAAGTGCCTGTCTGTATCATGATAAAATGGATGTTTACTTTAACACCATCCTTCTTTTTAAAATACAAGCTTGGGGAGGGATAGTCAAGGATGATAAGTAGAGGCAGGCAGGACTTTTAATTTAAATCACACAATGGATACAGCCACCATCTTGATTTCATCATAATGATGGAATGTCTGAGTGTCTGCTATTCTAATGACAAGGCAAGTCAACAAGAGAATAGAGTTTGAGAAGTGGGTTATGGTAATTTGAGCCTTATTAAAACAAACTCTTATCTGAAACTCAGAGCACAAAATCCTGGAATCTTGGTAAGGATCCACCAGGACTCCATGTATTACTTTTCTCAAACCATAGCATGTTCTGATTTTTTTTTTACTGACACTTTGCTCTAAAACCAAGAATAATTTTGGGATATTGGCATTAATTAAGGTAAAACTCTAAAGGTCTCAGGAACAAAATTAGTGGTGACATAACAAACCGGATCAACAAATCCCAAGTAGTATATTTAATATAAAATTAATAGATAAATCAGAGTCATATCAAGGGTATGTGAGTAACTTTAGATGGGCTGCTTTTACACGTCAAATATTAAGTTGAACTTAAAGACTCTTCATGAGAGAAAACTCTCCATTAGTCGCCCCTGAAATGGAAAACCAAAAAAGAAAAAAAAGAAGAAGAAAAAAGAAATGCTTGATTTTCCTTAACATCTAATAATAATTGTCTTCCTTTTTTTCCTTTATAGGAGACTCTTTCTCAAATTTCACTTATGGGAACAAGTTTCCTAAGACACTTAAACTGTTAAAAATGATGAACTAAGATGCAACTGCCAAGCATCAAGCTGCTGTTACAGATTAATGGTCAGGTACAAAACTGTACATCTGAAACATAATTAAAACATTTATTAATGTACGATTCTGGTCAAGTGATTAAAAAAGTATATTATAGGATCTTATATTATAGGATCCGTGTGAGAAATGAATTGATTAGGTATGCAGAAACTTCTATGAAATGCTCTGACAATTTTAGTAGATGGGTCTGGTATGGATCACTCAACTTCTATGAAAAAAAATTCATAGGAATTATAAATAAACTGAAAAAATAATTATATATTGAATTTCCAAAAATGGCAAAAGAAAATTTCTGTAAGAATTATGTTAGATATAAGAAAATATTTATTATATATAAGAAAATATAATTATATATATATACACACACACACACATTCTTTAAAAAAAAAATCTCAAAGCAGGGAACTCAAGATGACCTGTATCTAACTTCATTTTTCTGGTGATTTTTTTTTCCAGGGATTACAAAAAGATAGTTACCAGACTGAGGACTTGGTATTTGTGTGGATTACTGAGGAAAGTAACATGGTAAAGACAGGCAAACAGGAAACTGGACCTCTCATGGAGTCAAAGTCCTTTAAATGAGGTTTAATCTTTGAAAGGAAAGAAGAAAAAAAAAACCAAGTTTTTCTTTAGGCTACTCATCATGTTTAAAGCATACCACTCCCAATTTTGTTAAGCTCAGGATATTTGAGAAAACTGAAGAAGCAAGATCATGAAGCAGGATGTAGAACCTAAGGATTTTCTTATCTTCCCTAAAGCACACCTTAACACTCATGTGAAAGATGCCCTCCTAGCACTGGGAAAAGGAACATCCCTACCTCTGAAGATGAAAGGAAATGGAGGATCACAAACAAACCCTGCCAAGTGCCACCCAGTTCATACCTTCTTTCTCTTATCATTTCCTAAATGACTATTCACATTTTATCAAACCTGACATAAATATACAAAGATTAAGCTATTTATTCAGGTCAACATTTCCTCATGAAGGCATGTAACAATTATAGTTTAAAATTTTTAATGTTTCCTCTGTTAATCTGCTTTTTGTTATAGGTTAAGGGAAATGTTAACGAATATGACTCACAATCGACATACATATTGGAAATTAGCAGAGACAACATTGAACTAGTTGCTATGACTTCACTACAGATGTTCAAAATGTTAAGTAGCCTCATGGGACATAAAAGAGAGCCAATTCTCCATTCTAGAACATGAGAGATTTTTAAAAAAATTACACTGCATGAGATTGATGGCAGACTTGACATTGCCAAAGGAAAGGTCAGTGAACTTGAAGACATAGCAACAGAAATGAGCTAAAATGAAAACCTGAAGAAACAACAACAACAACAACAACAAAGAGTAATAAATGGCTACAGAATCAGTGAAACATGGAATAACTTTAAGAAGTCCAATATACAGTGGCAAAATATCCCCAAAGGAGAAAAGACGCAGGAGGGCAGATAAACATTTTAAGAAATTATAGTCCTCCAAGTCAAAATTTAATAAAAAGAATAAACTCATCAAAAGTACAAATGATACTCTGAAACAGGAAATCTACAGAAAACTGTAATGAGGTACACAAGAACAATTGCTCAAAACCAGCAATAAAGAAATATGTTAAGATGGTGGAGAAACAGAAATATTACATACAAAGGAACAAAGGTAATGACAGCAGACTTTTCATAGGTACAAAAGTAAGCTAAAAAAAACAAATACCTTAAATTGAAAGAAATATCATTTCAATCTAGTAATTGATAATAACTATCAAAAAATAGACAAAATGTTTTAGATTTATAAAAGCTGAAATAATACAACCCCAGAAGACCCAAACTATAATAAATATTCAAAGTCCTTCATCAAAAAGAAAGTGATATTAACTTGCGATATGGATTGCCAAAAAGAAATGAAGAACAATGAAATTGGTAATTATAAAAGTACATAATAATCAGTTAAATTGTTAAATGATAATTGACATATTTCTATGCCTAATAAAAAATAATAACCTTCCACAAAGGAAACCAGTAGGGCAAGATGTGTTTACCAGTGAATTCAACTAACATATGCTAGCACTACAAATTCTACCAACATTGAAATTAAGCTAAAGAACATCTTGACCAACCACAAATAAATGTTACAAGTTAGATGAAAGAGAAATACTTGAAAACACAAAACTCATTCAAGAGGAAACAGTAATCAGAATATCCCTGTACCAATTAAATTAGTCCAATTCACAGTTTAAAATCTCCCACAATGAAAATTGATAGATTCATTGATGAATTCTCCCAAACACATTTAGAGTTAAAAAAATACCAATCCTACAAAAACATTTCTCAAATACTGACAAGAAAACACTTCTCAACTCATTCGATGAGATTAAGATTACCTTTATAAAAGACACACACATAAATTTAGCACAAACTATGCTGTAGCCCACTTGTGGTACACTATGTATTGAAGTTGCCTGTTCATTAGTCCCTCCTCAGATAGAAAAAAAATCACTAAGAAATATGAAACACATAAACAGTACCGTTCTGAATTCTGATAAGCAGAGTAAACAAATCTGTATTCAAATTATCTCAAATTCCCTCTAATCTTTGTCTTGAACTCTGCCTTCTTGCTAATAGCAGTCTTCCAAAATAGACTAAAATTTCTATTGATTTACAAGGGTCAAAGATTTTGACTGTATGTGTCCTTTGTGTATAGAAGGATTGTCCTTGGATACTTACATATGTTAATACAAAAAAAAAATCAGGCTTTTAGCAGTTACTTGCTCAAAATAAGCACTAGGGATTGAGGAAACATTTTCTTTCCTATTACAGAGTTCTTCAATCATGATGCTTTCATCCTGTTATGGAGTTCTTCAATTATGATCTGCTTTCAATGTTAAATGACAAGATGAAAAAAACCCACTATTTCAGAGAAAATATTGTTTTTAATATAGAGAACACATATTAGCATTCATATTAGTTGGAAGACATAAATCATTTTCTTATTCCAACAATTCCAAAGTAAGAAAAATTATGCGTGGGGTGTATATCCATAACCGTTTCACATGTTTATGCACTGAACACAACAACAAAAATATAAGTAATGGACAGAGATGCTGTATATATTGGAAGGGCATTCTCCACTGTGAATAGAACTGACTTAGACCCTATGCATAGAAATAATTCTCAAAGTTTCACTCTTCTCTCTTCTCTTTCACTTTCCCAATTTGAAAGTCTTTCCTTTGATTTTCCTCTGATTTCTCTAACCTTGACACAGGCAGAGATTTATAGTATAGGCTGTGGGAGCAACAGAGAATCCAAGGAGCTGGCAGGGCTGATGGACAGAGGGAGGAGCAGCCTTTCTCACAATTGCCCTACCTTATGGCCTTAGGGGTCATTCCCACTCTGGCATGAAGCTCTGCACCTAATTGTAGATTTTCAAACCAACAAGAATTCTTTGAGCTTCCTTGGATGCTCCTTTAACAATGTGTTTTGTGGGGAAAAGGAAAAAAACAGGGTAAGAAAAATATTTTAATAGACCAGCTTTCTTTTATCTATTATGCTTTTGGACTTTCATATGGTTTAAAGTAGAAAAAAATGATTTGAAAATTATTTATATAAATGATCTCTAAGGTCTTTTCTACCCATATCCTATTACTGTCTAAGTAAACAAACTAGAGGATTTTTTTTGCCTTCAAACACATAATATCAACTATTTGACATTCATTTTAATATTCTTGTCACTCCTTATGCCCAAGGAACATCATCACAGATTTCTAAACAAAGCATAAATACTAAGCTAGTCCTGAAAATCCTCTTAAATTCTGATCTGTTATCACAATATACTATATTTAGTTCGCATTTGAAATCCTCTCTGTTCTTACAGAATTTGGACCAATGTAGGTTCTCTATTGAAAACAGAATTTATTGATTGCCCTTTTAAACTTTGATAAAGGATTGGAATGACTCAGGCTAGGTTATAATATAACTTACTGCCATTTATGCTCTACTCAAGGAAATAAAACACAAATAGAGTTTAATTTACTTTCTCCTTTTGGGGATTTTATGATAAATCTTCTAGCAAATATCAACATATTGATAATTAATGTGGAACAATCATCTTCTCTTTCTGCCAGTGTGCTATCTCCGCTGCTGCTGAACCTCAGTAAGACAGCTTCAGTAAGATAGTCATAGCTGTCCTCCACTTAAGATCTCTACATATATTTCAATTATTTTTTTTCCTGAGGAAGATAACGCTCTTATTCCTAAATTGTTCACAGGGGACTAAGATTAGGATATAGTATTTAATAGGACTTGCCAAAGTTTCGAAATGTGAAAACAATCCTGGTTACTGATCATAAGCCTATCTTGTCAACCTTAATATCTGACAGGATAGATGCAACTCATTCAATTCCGTGTCAGTCCATAGAGGAGATCATTCTGGCCTGCCCTGGACTTTTCATAGTTTTCTTCCATTCACTTCCTTTCAAGTCTTTTCTTTCCTCATAAAGAAATGAGGCTCCCTTTCTTAGCCTCCTTCTCTTGGGCTCCTATTTTCTGCTACTCATCCCTTGAGAGAAATTACCACTCTTAGAATACTTAGCCCATTCTATGTTTCCAATTGTGTCGAAATTACTGGGGAAAGCTAACTCATTCCAATTATATTCCTGAATACTCATTTTACTCTAGACAGGAAAAGCACAGTTCTGCTAATTACCTCAATCTTTATTACTAAATAGAATTCTTTGCATCCAAGTCTGAAATAATCTGCACTTGGGCTACCTCTCTGAATCCAGGGCATGCTCAAAGAAAAGAGTCAAATATTTTTCTTATATTTGCATAAATAAAAGAACCTATCAAAGTGCCTTCTCAGAAAAAAAAAGAGCTAACCTCAAAACAAATGACCAATATTCATCTTAGAATTCTGCAGCATGTGATCCAATCCCTAAAATTAGCATTTACAGATCTGCAAATCAGTAAAGTCAAATTCTAAAAGAACACTATGACATTTACATATAGACAGACACCTCTTGAGAATTTCATATGGGGCAGATGCTATTCTAGGAGTTATTCTAGGAGTTTTGCTTTCACACTGGAAATCTTACAACAGTAATAGGTATTATCACACCCATTTTAGAGATAAAGAGGAAAGAAACATTGCCCCAAATTAATGATATGACACATGGAGAGGTATCCTTAAATTAATAAGGAGGTGCTATGACTCCAGGTTTCGCTCTAAAACATGCAATATTCAACAGATTTTGAATTACAATTGCATTTGTGAGTTGAATTAGCAAATTTAGCAAAATATTTCTATGAACACAGAAGGAAAGGAACAGTTACCCACTGTGATAACTAGTTTACAACCTCATGCTGAAAAAGGTCTTGTCCTGTAGAGATGGAAGTAAACTGCCCAGATCCTTCACTTGCTGTTTGTTTTGCTCTGTGCTATTTACTTAACCTTTTACTGGCCTGTTTCCTCATCTGTAGACTTAAAATGAAAATCTATATCATACAACTGTTCTGAGAGTTAATATTTGTCATATAAGAAGCAATCAAAATATTTTACAATATCATCAGTGTTATCTGCCTGAAAGATCTTGCAAAACTTTCAGAACTTTGGTGATTCAGGGTAAGGTGAGAGGTATGAGATGTAGAAAATGATCTCATATCAGGTTTTATTTGGTTATGAAGAGTTGTATAATGAGGGAGAATAAAAAGATGAAAGAGTGAATAATATTTTGCTTATTCTTTTATTGCTTTAAGGACAAAAATATGCTGTTCACTACATTGCTCAGGCTGACCTTCGACTTCTGGTCTAACTTAATATTCTCTCAGCTTCTAGCCTAACTAGGACTACAAGCATGTACCATCATACGCACCTAGATTGTTGTAGATTATACAGTGTCCTTAAAAAGGAAGAAATTTTGTTAGCTTTCTAACATAATTGTGAAAAAACACTTTGGGAAGAAAGGCAATAATGGGAAAAAATAATAATGAATACATAAAAAAGATACAAAAAAAGAAAAGGATAAATTTTAAATATAAAGAGCTAAACAAAGGGAGTCATGAGCATTCCATTTTAAAATCAATGGATATAAGAATGGAATGTGTCCCCTTAGGGATGCTTTAAATATTACCCTTTTCTGAACTATTTCATTAAGTTTCTTTTATGTATAATTCCATTCAACCATCTATTCAGTTAGCACCTTAAAGTTTTGGCATTTATGTTGAATGAACAGGATGCTTACCCAATGAGGACATTGGTGGGATTCAGCTTTTCAGCAACTGTCACACTGATAATGAAGCTCTGACTGGCCAGAAATCTGAGGTTTTACATTTATTTACTGGGCTTCCCAAACGTAGGGAGAAAAAAAGTGGACTGAAGGTATCACTTCACTTCAACTGCACAATTGGTGCAGTACAGAATCAAATCACAATTCTTTGCATCCCTATTTTTCTAAATCAGGAATCACTTTGTCAACCTGGACTACAAAAATGAGAGCCAAGAGGCCATTTTGATGAAACAGAGAACATGAACTGGCAAAATTATTTTATAGCGGGCTGGGGATGTGGCTCAAGTGGTAGCGCACTCGCCTGGTATGAGTGCGGCCCAGGTTCTATCCTCATCACTACATACAAACAAAGATGTTGTGTCTGCCAAGAACTAAAAAATAAATATTAAAATTATCTCTCTTTAAAAAAAATTATTTTGTAGCAGAAAGCAAGATTTTACTCTCACTGCTTCTCCATCAGAAGAAGGGAGAAGCAGTGAGATAGGAAAACAAGAAAAACCTGGAATGTGAAGATTTGAGTTGAAGTCCTGCCTTTATCCAGGCTTTTTCCTTTATATTTTTCACCTCAATGAATCTTTAAAATGTTATCTTTAAAATTCTATTTTCATTCTATTTCCTCTTTTTGTTATAATGCCAATGAAGTCACACAATGTTTTTTATATTGGATAATTTTACAGCATTCCACTAATACTTGTGGATTAAATAAATTTGAACTGAAATTATTTATACAAACCATAT